TTGCCTGTCAGTCGCAAAACCTTTGTTTCTTCCATGCTGCCAAAACATGCCCTAAATCCTAGAATGCCAGTAGTTACTCCTACAGCAACATAATCCGCACGTACAATAATAGCACAGCTCAAGGTCTCGAAGCATGTCCTGGACTGTTTCATCCTGTAACAATGGATCAAAACTTTTTTGCGGAAGTTGAAAAAGGTGCCACAAGTAAAATAATCTTATCACATATACATGCTTACAACTTTCAGGCAGTTATGAATTAACAATAAACTATGCTGTCTGCTAACCTGATAAACATTTACCTTAAACTCGATATTTACATGTACGATCAACATGAATTACCCGTACAGACAATATCGACATTTTGTTACAAAAATACTCATATTACATAACTTTCCAAAACATGAAATGATGTCACTGACACGTTCTTGCGGCAGAAGGGAAGGTACACGTCAACGGCATCTCTGTCCTGGAAAAACAATGTAGGGCTCTGATTACGCACGGCCTGCGGCCAAGGCAAGAGACATAAGTTCTTGTGTGTCAATCTAGACGTGAAGAAATAACTAGCTCTCTCTGTGGTAGGCACTGAAAAAGAACGATTTTATCTGCCTCGCAGTTGCATGCTGTCCTCATGCGAAGGGCGGTTTCCCACCCACGTTGTTGAAATGCGGGAATGCTGAAGAGAAAATGCGGGCGCGCACAGCCGGTAATTTATTTGGACTGTGTGGGTGGGCGGCCTTGCAGAAGTGGGCGTTTTGAAGGCATAACCTTGTTCGAGTTCTCGGTAATCCTTGGTAAAACAACTGTTTCAAACAGTTGTTCCGACGGTGAGTCATAGACACTTGTTACACATGCTAACCTTGATCCTCAGAAACTGGTGTTGCGTGGACACCTGTGTTTATGTATTATCTACATGTACATATACATACGCATAGGCAAACACGCACGATTGCCCTGTATTTACTTCTGAACATGTCAGTTTTGTATTCAAGGTGAATAAACGAGGCGACATAAAACGGCACGATAACAGATATCGTAAATCCCACCTAGTAAATTGTAACATTCTCTATTTTTGTTTAGTACTTACATGGAAATGCATAAAATCGGAAACAATGCTTGAGCGTGTATACAGCCATATCCCAAAATACGAAATTAACTGCGGTGACATGTATGTATGTGTATGTGAACACCTAGCATTTCCTGTGTATTATTACTCAGGCTACTGAAATACAATACTTCTACGGAGTTCCTACTGTGTGTACATAAATAGCATTTCCTCACTATTTTCACCTTTTTAAATCCATTTCCCTTTCCTTTCTTTTAAATATATCTTCACACAAAATTCTAATAATAGCATATCGCTTCAAAACAACAAACGGGACTGATCAATCGAGAGTCAAGGCACGTAATACAGGCCACCTGCTTCGAATGCACATCTGCCTTTGAATGCGGCCTTGTTTCCCCTTCCCTAATCTCTGTATTTGCCTACCTCTCTCTCTGTCTCTGTCTGTCTGTCTTTCCCTTCCCTATTCTTTTACTTATTCTAGCCCTCTGTCTATCTATATCTGTGCCCCCCCCCCCTCTCTCTCTGTCCAAAGAGCGGGATGCAGAGAAAAATAATATTGTACCTATAACATTACTGCGACTATCGCCTTCGTTATCATCATCCCTTTATTTCGGCTATGAACACACACGCACGCACGCACGCACACACACACACACACACACACACACACACACACACACACACACACACACACACTGCCATCTTTATCATTATCTGTTATCATCTTTGTCACGAACAATATTAAAAATATAGTGGTGGTGAAGAAGAAGACGAAGTAGTAGTCGTAGTGACCATGGTCGTGGTAGTGCTAGTGCTAGTAGTAGGAGTAAGAAAGGGGAAAGCAACATTATCACTTTAACTTACTGTTACCATGGTCTGTCAGTGTGGTATATTCATTATTGGTAATGATGATGGTAATACTGAAAATAATGCAGCAGCACAAAATCGACGATGCGAATATAAAAATGAAGAATAATGAGAATATTAAGGGAGACGGTCAGTTAGGGTACCTAACACACCACCTGTAATCAATTCCGTAGTTTATTCCTTAGAGAACTATTAAGCATTTTAAATTATCTGATCTGATCCGACGGAGAATGAAATCGAGATAACTCTTAAAAAAAATACCAGTTCATTTACAATCACGAAATGCGTCTTGGTTATCAGGCATATGCCGGACTTGGGCGCCGCAAAAACTAAAGAAAATCCCGGAGTCCTTGAATACGAACCCGTTCTGTTGCTCAGTAGTCTGCTTGCGTATTGAAGTGCACTGCGAAGAGGGGGCGAAACACGTTCACTACTCAAGATCATGAACGCCTTTGCAGAATCGAGGTAAAGCGTTGTCGCTGGTCGAGTGTTTTTGTGATGTTCAAATGCTCGCGGGCAAAATCATTTTACCGGTATCTTGGGTTTCCCGTTCCAGGTTAATAGAAGGTATTTAGACGAGAGAGAGAGAGAGAGAGAGAGAGAGAGAGAGAGAGAGAGAGAGAGAGAGAGAGAGAGAGAGAGAGAGAGAGAGAGAGAGAGAGAGAAAAAATATATATATACATATATATATATATATATATATATATATATATATATATATATATATATATATATATATATATTGATGGACAGCAGGTTAGCTGTATATATTATATATCATTAAAGCAATTTATATTATATTTACAACTGAATACACCCGAAATAGCAGTAAAAAATCCTACCTATCTCTTCCTCCCCCTCTCTCTTTCCTTTTCTCGCTCTCTATCTCTTTCTCCTTTTCTCTCTCTCTTTTTCCCTTTCTCTCTCTCTCGCTTTCCCTTTCTCTCTCTTTTCCCTTTCTCTCTCGCTTTCCTTTTCTCTCTCTCTTTTTTCCTTTCTCTCTCTCTCGCTTTCCTTTTTCTCTCTCACTTTCCTTTTTTCTCTTTCTGTCCTTTTTTCTTCTCTCTTTCCTTTCTCTCTCTCCTTCTTTCTCTTTCTCACTCTCACTTTCCTTTACACACACACTCTCTCTCTCTCTCTCTCTCTCTCTGATGTTAATACTTCAATAAATAAATGTTACAGTTTAACGGAAGGAACTGATGCTCCCAGAAAAGACGTTCAGAAAATCCCGTTGCGTGATTTTCCAAGCAATCTCTTTCTCCTTTTCTCTCTCTCTTTTTCCCTTTCTCTCTCTCGCTTTCCCTTTCTCTCTCTCACTTTCCTGTTTTTCTCTTTTTCTTTCTTTTTTTCTCTTTCTGTCCTTTTTTCTTCTCTCTTTTCTTTCTCTCTCTCCTTCTTTCTCTTTCTCACTCTCACTTTCCTTTACGCACACACACACACACATACACACACACACACACACACACACACACACACACACACACACACACACACACACACACACACTCTGTCTCTCTCTCTCTCTGATGTTAATACTTCAATAAATGTTACAGTTTAACGGAAGGATGACGCTCACAGAAAAACGTTCAGAAAATCCCGTTACGTGATTTTCCAAGCAAATAAAAATATCCGACTCCTTTGAATTCCCGGAAGGACTCCAGACCCGGTGCACAACAGTTTCGGAAATTGTATAATAAAAAAAACTCACAAAAAGTATTCGTGTTAGATTCCATTAAAGCTCTCTGGGTACAGATAAAAGGTGGAGTGAAGATCTAGTCAAGTTATTTCGTTTACAGAAGAATACGAAAAAAAAAATCCGTTCATCTAAAACAGTTGCTTCTGATTCGAACACTCGCATTAAAGAGAGAAAAACGAAATATACGAATCACCCCAGTCGACCCTTGCGTCCACGGCAGCTGCCTCGTCGCTGAAGGCGCTGCCCTTGTATAACGAGCGGCCCAGCGGTCGCCAGGACTTCTAGTGCGAGGATAACGTCATCATGTAAGTATATGTGGCAAGGGCGCCCGCGGCACCTTCTGGAAGCTGTCTAATCTCTGGAGCGCTCGTTTGCGATACATCGAATCACCGTCACAGACAATGAGAGATTCTATGATGCAAAGATGAAATAAGCTGGGTACAACTTGCGGTTCTCTACAATGGATGCCGATGATAAAATTATAACAGTATTTACAATAACAAAAATAATGGCAAAAATAATAATGATGATAATGACAATAATAACAGTAATAATAATAACGATATGATAATATAATATTGATAATAACTATAACAAAGATAATAATAATATTGATGGTGACTATAACAAAAACAAAAACACTAACAATAATAATAATGATGATGATAAAAGTAGTAATAATAATGATAAAATGGCAATGACAATAACAAAACAAAAACACTAGTATTGAAAATAACATCCAGTACAATAATAATAATGATAGCAGCAAAACACTGATAACATAAATATGAATTGCGGCAGAGCCTGTTCTAGCCGCTATCTGGCAGCCGCCAGTTCTCAGACATCATCATGTAACCAATCATCCTTGCCTAGCCTGATGGCATGCATATAATCTACATCAAGGCAGGAGAACAACCGCCTTCTACCATCAAGCACCTCCATAAAAGGCAATTATTGGGTATTAATTCGGCGGAGGATCGCGGATGGCGTACCGTCATGCGAGCTACAACAAATCTTGCCGTTTTAAGACAGCTTCTCTAATAATCTGGCTGGAATATTTAACTCCAAAATAAGTTCGAGACCAAACGCTTACTGTTTGGGGGGAGGTAGTACTCTAATTTGCACTCAATGGCCACTAAAAATTAATGAAAAACAAAACAAGACAAAACAAAATCGAATAACAACATGAAGTCCGAGTAACGGGAACAGACCGTCGTTAAACAGAGCCCTCTGCTATACCTGTTTGTCAAAGGTTGGAAGCTGATGCCCGCAGATGGCAACGGAGAGGGCTTCCAGTACGCACACTTCTTTCTTAAGGGGAAAAAATAAATGCCAAGCAAGACTCTACAACACCGAAATCTCATGAATACTTAC